GCAAAAATCCTCAACAAAATATTAGCAAATTGAATCCAACAGCATATAGAAAGGGTCATTCACCTTAACCAAGTGGGATTTGTCCAAGAAATATGAGGTTGGTCTAATATATGAAAATCAATCAAAATAATATACCATAGTAATAGAATAAAGCACAAAACCTACATGATCAAAAGATGCAGAAAAAGCATCTGCTAAATTCCAACATCCTTTCATGATAAAAATGCTCAACAAACTAGAAATAGAGAGGAACTTCCTCAGTCTGATAAAAGGTATCTATGAAAAACTGACAACTAACATCATACTCTTTTATTATTTAAGTAAAGTTGACATACAATGTTATATTAGTTTCAGGTATACAACATAGTGAATTCACAATTCTCTACATTATGCAATCAATGCTCACCATGATAAGTGTAGTTACCACCTGTCACCATACAATGGTATTACATAATATTGACAATATTTCCTATGCTATACTTTTCATCTCCATGACTTACTGATTTTATACCTGGAAGTTTGTACCTCTTAATCTCCATCACCCATTTTGCCCATCCCCCTACCCTTCTTCCTTCTGGCAACCACCAGTTTGTTCTCTATATTTATTAGTCTACTTCAGTTTCTGTTTCTTTGTTTGTTCATTTGTTTTGTTTTTCATATTCCATATATAAGTAAAATCATATGGTATTTGTGTTCCTCTGTCTGACTTATTTCAGTTACCAGGATACCCTCTAGGTCCACCCATGTTGTTGCAAATAACAAGATTTCATTCTCTTTTATGACTAATATTCCATTGTATATATACATACTACATCCTTTTTTATCCATTCATCTACAAATGGGCACTTAGATTGCTTCTATGTCATGACTGTTTTAATAAAGTTGCAATAAACTGTTAAACAAAATGTGGTATATCCACATAATGGAAATCATTTGCCATTAAAAATGTTTCATGCTATAATATGGATGAACCTCGAAACATGCATAGGAACAGAAACCAGACATAGAAGGTATATATTTTATGATTCATGTTATATGAAATGTCCAGAACAGGCAAAACCATAGAAACAGAAAGTTGATTAGTGGTCATCAGTGGCTAGGAGTAAGGGGAAATTGGAGGTAATTGCTAATGGGTATGGAATTTCTTTGGGGGGGTCATGGAAATGTTCCGGAATTAAAAATAGTAAGGACTGGGGCACCTGGGTGGCTCAGTCAGTTAAGTGTCTGCCTTCAGCTCAGGTCATGATCCCAGGGTCCTGAGATCGAACCCCACGTCGGGCTCTCTGCTCAGTGGGGAGTCTGCTTCTCCCTTTCCCTCTGCTGCTCTCCCTGCTTGTGCACCCTCTCTGTCAAATAAATAAATATTTTTTTAAAAAGTAGTAATGACAGCACAACAGTGGAATCTACTGAAAATCACTAAATTGTACACTTTAGAATGCTGAATTTTGTTATGTGACTATCTCAATAATAAAACATAAAAATAACAGAATCATTTTAATCAGCCATACTAGCAAAAAACAACTAAATATCTTTTGAGAATCTAGAGAAAAGGAAATTACAAAATCATTGCCATCGGAATAGGCAGTCAAAGAATATGTGGCAACATAATATAGAAGAAAAAGTATTACAGAGGTGTGCCATGCAATCCGCAAATTTTTTCAAATGTTATTTCTCTGGATTGTGTGATATATTTGGTACATTTCAAAGCATTTGTTAAATTTATAACTTGTTGTGATTTATTTTCTCATTCTAAGTAAATACCTACTTTCATGACTAAATTTGTATTTTTAAGGTTGTTTTCTTTCTGTTAAAAGAACTATAAAGGTCAGGTCCCACAAAATCTACAGAAGAAACAGAAAAACAGTAACCCTGGGATCGAGTACTGCATGGGTCTCCTTGCTCAGAGTCCTGGGATCCAGGCCTGCTAAATGACTGGAAGAGCAATCTGGTACTTTTAGGGTCGTTAAGACGCCCATTCCCCATGACCCAGAAATCTCACTTCTAGGGATGGGCTCTGCCAGTGTGTTTGTATCTCAGCATGGGGGACGCATGAGAGGACATTCCTGGGAGCCTGCTTGTAAAGGCAGAGCATCAGAAACAAGCTGAATGGTCATCAGAGCACAATGCAGATGACTGGGATATATTCTCACAAAGGAATTCTAAACAGGTGGTAAACAAATCCATAAAACCTGGATGGATATGGAAAACAACACAAAATGCTACAAGCAAGTTTCAGAACGATACATGCAGTTAATACCGCTTGTGTGATTTTTTTTTAAGATTTTATTTATTTATTTATTTATTTATTTATTTATTTATTTATTTATTTATTTGAGAGACAGGTAGTGAGAGAGAGCACAAGCCGTGGGGAGAGGGAGAAGCAGACCAGCAAGCCTGGATCCCAGGACTCTGAGCAAGGAGACCCATGCAGTACTCGATCCCAGGACTCTGGGATCATGACCTGAGCTGAAGGCAGATGCTTAACCGACAGCCACCAGGTGCCCCAGTGTGTGATTTTTTTTTTTTTTAAACCACATGTACAGGTACTACATGTTTGTTCTGCAGACAGAAATGAAATGAAAAAGGAAGGTTCTCTTTCGTTTTGAAAGAAACAGACAGGCTGGGGGAGGATACAAAAGATTATCACTGGATCTGTCATGTTTTCATTCTTTAAAAATATTGTGAGGAGGGTGCCTGGGTGGCTCAGATGGTTAAGCGTCTGCCTTCGGCTCAGGTCATGAGCCCAGGGTCCTGGGATCGAGTCCCGCATCGGGCTCCCTGCTCCTTGGGAGCCTGCTTCTCCCTCTGCCTCTCTCTCTCTCTCTCTCTGTCTCTTATGAATAAATAAATAAAATCTTTAAAAAAAAAAATATTGTGAGGAACTGACGCAAATATTTCAAAGTTCTGGCATCTAAATTCTGCATTGAGCATATATGCTTATACTTAGGATTGCTCTCTTACCTTTTTTTCTCTGAAGCTGGGCTAACGATATTTATCTGAGTGGAAGAAATACTTGAATGTTTAAAAACAAAACACATTTTTGGAGGGGTAAAAACAGGAGCAAATCAGGAAATGCTAATAATAATGTGTTAACAGCTTTTATCTACTGAACTGGAAGCTTTGGTATCGCCCCACCCCCACACCTGGCCCCCAGAGCGGTAGCCCAGGCTGACAAAGGTTCAGGAACAGCATGGAAAACATGTATCTCTCTTGGCTGGAACAGTTCTCACCTGGCAATTTATCCTAATGAGATTCTCCTGAAGTTGTGCAGACTCTGACACAAAGATGTCCAGTACCAAGTCACCTTGTAGATAAAAAAGGAAACAACCCGAATGCCCAACAACGGATGGGTAAATGGGGATTTGTGAAATAAACCATGACTCTCGAGCATGCATGCAGACCCTCGGAAGGATGTGAGTACTTAAAAAACGCTTTCACCGGGCACCTGGCCGACCCAGTCAGTAGAGCATGTGACTCTTGATCTCATGGTCGTGAGTTCAAGCCCCACACTGTGTATAGAGATTATATTTTAAAAAAAATTATTTTTCACGTGTGGCAGGTGGATTTCCTGAAGAAGTGGGGAGATGGGCTCATTTCTTCATGGGGGCTCTACAGCAGCCTCGCCAGGGTGTTGGGGATTTTTTCAAACTTCTCCCAAGTACCTGGCCATGGCCTCCAGACCTGGAATCTCGCACGCCTCTCCCGAAGGATCTGTGACCCGACCTGTGCCGGCAAATCACCAAGCACAAGCACGGTGCTAGTGCCTAGCGGTTTCATTCAATCCCCTCAAAACCCCGTGAGGTAAAGCACTCTAATCGCAGTGTCACAGGCTGGGAGGGGCGTAGAGGGTGCCCACCCACAGGCACACGACAGTAAGCAGGGGGACACGGTTCCCACTCTGTCACACCACACCGCTGATACTGGTCCTCCCCATCACCTCCAACCTGGGGGGATGCTCACAGAGTTTAGTATCCAGGTGATGACAAAGCCCTTACTCTAGCACTGTCTAAGATGCCAACAACACCAGTCACACCGCAGGAGAAAAGGCATGCCACCGAAAAATGCTGACACACTGGGTATTGTGAAGCGCCATCCAGGCTCTGGAAGGGCTCAGATGTGAAAATCTGCACATCCTGCAATCAACATACCTTATGCATAATAAAATATGAACAGTGATTATTTGAGAGTTAGGACATTAGGGCAGGTGTTTTTGGCCCATCTGTATTTTCTAAATTTTCTACAGTCAACCATATTACTGCTAAGATTAGCAAAAATGGTAAGTAAACATTATTTCAAAAGGAAAAAAAAAATGAGACAATTGGATTTACTGTGAAACTAAAGAAGTTTAAGCTTCAGGGCCTCCTACACACCAGGTTGGGAGAGGCCCTAGCTTGTTTGTATTGGTGGTTTTGTATTATTTGGGATAAAGATGTCCCCAAACTGTACGTGCTTCAGGCCCCATAAAACTATGATCTGCCTTACAACCAGCACACATGGGGCATCCAACAAGTCTGTGCTTCCTGCTTTAAAAGAGAGAGATGGAAACATTTTCAACTTTGGTGAGGACAAAAGCGAGCCTAGATCATCACACCCAGGCAATAAAATCAGTATTCTCCCTCTACCTTTCATAATTATCAACCCTGCTGTTCCGCCCACAAAATTCAAACCTAGAAGCCCTAAGCCCACTTGCCATGGTACTGGGAGGTGGGGTCTTTGGGAGGAGAAGAAGCCTAGGTGAGATCATGAGGGGAGAGCCCCTATGATGGGATTCATGCCTTTATAAGAAGAGGAAGAGAGAGTGCTCCCTCTCTACCAAATGAGCACCAAGCAAGAAGGTGGCCATCTGAGAGCCAAGAAGAGAGTCTCATCAGGAAATGACTCTGCTTGCACCTTGATCTTGGCCTTTCAGCCTCCAGAAATGTGTGGTATTTTGCTATGGCCGCCCAAACTAATAATACCCCTGCCGCCCCTCTAATGATCATACCAGGTCATGCACTCACCTGACTGATGAACTCAGCAATTTAAGCCACTGTCTGTCTCCGTACCACTGAAGTTTTATACATAAATGGTGAGCTCCACTGTTTTATAAACGTTACAGGAATATGCACCCAAGGATTCTCTTTTCTCTGGAATCTGTCAGGTTCTTTAGAGAGTCAGCCTCTTCTCATCTGCAATGAGATTTTCTTTTTAAATCCCTCTTTAAACATTTCCTTTTGTGCGATGTCTTAGCCTTAAGTACTAAACCTTAAAGAAAAGTTGTTTTCCATTCACTGCCTTGTTTTAGATATGCACTCCTTGCTCTTTGAAAATGGCAAAAGAAAGGATCTCAGGGCCACCTGCTTTGAGCTACCCAGCGGTAGAGGGGCTAACTGACAAACCCAGTTAGAATCCTGGTCCCAAGGACCTTAAAGCCACATGCAGCAGAACTCTCTGCCAGATAAACCATTAGGCTGAACATCAAAATGTAAAGCCACTAAAAGTTAAAGTGCTCTCTTTGAAAAGGAATAACAAAACCCTAAGGTTCCTCCAAACCTAGTTTGAAAATCATTGATCTGCATTACTGTCAAGCAAGAAGCAAAGAAAATGTAGGATTTTTTCCCTCTGCAAAAGCCGGGTCTCCTCTACCTTGTCCACAAGAGGAGGGCGAAATACACCTGGCGTGATGCATACACCCTGCCATCTACAGGGAAACTGCATGACACACAGCTAGAGACATGTGGGATGAAACTGCAATTCTCATTTTAGCAACACCTGTACCCATAGTCATTCAGAAATGGTGAATATTTGCTCCAGTTTAAAAACACACAGCATACCTTCTAGACCATGCCTGTTGGTCCCTATTCCGCAAGGAGCATTCCTACCTGAGCACAAATCCTCAGCTTACCGGGCACACACTCACCACCGGGAGCAGCCCCGAGTCCATGTCCTAGTCTCTGAGGTCTGGCTGAGCCAAGATTTGGGGCACATTCATGTGATCGACACATATTTATGAAGTACCTGAAGAGTGCCTGGGTTTTGTCTCAGTGAATAAAACAAATGACAAGCTCACCTTTGTGGGGTTTATGTTCTAGAGGGAACACGTCCTAAGTAAGTAATTTAAGCAAGCACATGAGAGAGTGATAAGTGCTCCAGGGGGGAAAAGAGAGCACTAAATGGGGGAACGGGGAGTGACAGGGAAGGCCTAGATTTTTATTTCTGCTTTTTTATAGTGGTATAGAACACATAGTATAAAATTTACCATCTTAAGTATTTTTAAGGGTACAGTTCAGTAGTGTTAGCTCTGGGCATCATTGTACAACAGAAATTCTACCCACTAAACAGGGGCGCCTGGGTGGCTCAGTTGGTTAAGCGACTGCCTTCAGCCTAGGTCATGATCCCGGAGTCCCGGAATTGAGTCCTGCATCAGGGTCCTGCTCGGCGGGGAGTCTGCTTCTCCCTCTGACTGTACCCCCTCTTGTGCTCTCTCTTTCACTCTCTCTCTCTCCAAAAATAAGATAAAATCTTGGTGGCGCTTGGGTAGCTCAGTCGTTAAGCGTCTGCCTTCGGCTCAGGTCATGGTCCCAGGGTCCTGGGATCGAGCCCCGCATCGGGCTCCCTGCTCCACGGGAGGCCTGTTTCTCTCTCTCCCACTCCCCCTGCTTGCGTTCCCTCTCTCGCTGTGTCTCTCCCTGTCAAATAAATAAATAAAATCTTTAAAAAAAAAAATTAAAAAGATAAAATCTTTAGAAAAAAAAATTCTACCCACTAAACAACTGCCCACTGCCCCTCCCCCAGCCCTAGGGATCTCATATCCGTGTAATCATAGAGTATTTGGCCTTTTGTGACTGTTTATTTTACTCAGTCTAATATACCCAAGGTTCATCCACGTTGTAGCATATGACAGGATTCCCTTCCTTTTTGAGGCTGCATAGTATTCCACCACGTAGGTATAACACATTTCTCTATCTTTCTCTACCAGTGGACACTTAGGCTGCTTCCACATCCTGGCTATTGTGAATGATGCAATTAACATGGAAGCACAGGCATCTCCTCAAGATCCTCTCATCGGGGAAGGCCTAGTTTTAAACGGAGTGGTCAAGGTGGTTCTCACTGAGAAGCTGGCATCTGAGGGAAACTGAAGGTGGTGAGAGAGAGAGGGAGCCATGAGAACATCTGGCGGCAGGGGGAGTGGGACAGGCCAGGGCCAAGGGGCTGAGCTGGGAGCCTCCGGGTGCAGCAGGAAGACCAGCGGGAAGCCTGAGAGGCTGTGGGGTGGGGGGAGCCAGGCCAAGAGTGTCAGGAGAAGAGGAGACCTGAGGTCAGAGGGGGCAGATCATGCAAAGGAAACAAGGCAGGAGCTCTGCAGGATCCTGAGCAGAGGCGTGACACGCCGATCTCCACGATAAAGGAGCTGAGTGGGGAGCTGCGAGGAGGTACTGCAGTCCCCAGAAGAAGACGACAGTGGCTTGGACTCGCTGTGGCAGTGGAAGAGAGAGGCAATGGTCACATTCTGACAGACTTGATACTCCCATTAAAGGGGTCGATGGAGGGTGTGGACACAGAATGAGGGAGGACCCCAAGCGTGCCGCCTGAGCAGAGGGGTGCTGCCATCACTGCGAGGAGGAAGGCTTCAGGGAAGCAGGTCAGGGTGGACACAAGCATGGGGTCGGAGATGCCCAGTGACATGCACCTCACAGACCCCCCCCTTCCCTCCTGCCTCCGCGGGAGTCCCACGACTTCTTGCCTCAGCACGGTCTCCACCTTCTGGGCAGGGGAAAATTCCCAATTTTAATCGAATTCCTGTCACTCGGGGTGCCTGGGTGGCTCAGTTGGTTAAGCGTCTGCCTTCGACTCAGGTCATGATCCCAGAGTCCTGGGATCGAGTCCCGCATCGGGCTCCCTGCTCCGCGGGAAGCCTGCTTCTCTCTCTCCCTCTACTGCTCCCCCTGCTTGTGTTCTCTCTCTCAAATAAATAAATAAATAAATAATCTTAAAAAAATAATAATTCCTGTCACCCTTTCATCGGTAGCTACGCAAGGCATCCCTGCCTGTTCAGAACAACCCCACAGACTTCTATGAACTCAGTATCACCTATTTTCTGAAGATAGATTTCTTCAAAGCATAGCGCTGTTTGGGCCAACATGCACTAAGAGCAGAACACGGAGAATGCAAAATAACTTACGGACAGGCACCTGGCACAACATTTTCACAGACACTTTCGGTTCCCCCAAAATATAGTCCCTCCTCGTTTCCATCAACCAGACCGAACAGACAGCACAGTCACCCATGACCTCGACAAGGGCCCTGCTGTCCTTATTTTCTACAACAGAATGGCCCCTCGATAGAAGTACAGGGTCATGGGGCACCTGGGTGGCTCCGTCAGTTGAATGTCCCATTGTTGGTTTGGCTCAGGTCGTGATCTCAGGGTCATGAGATCGAGCCCCGTGGTGGGCTCCACGCTCAGCAGGGAGTCTGCTTGAGATTCTCCCTCTCGCTCTGCCCCTCCCCCCCCCGTGCTCTCTCTCGTTCTCTCTCTAAAATGAATGAATGAGTGAATGAATGAATTGCAGGTTCAGCAGGAAAACTCACTTTAAAGGATCCCTTCAGAATTGTGAAAAGTTCTGACACCTGATTAAGGAACCCTAAGAATTCATCATGATTAAGAGAAGACTTCCTGAAATTCTTGGATAATCAAGACACAATCCACGCAACCAGCCCACAGATCCTGATGGGGTGACAGGACACCCAGCCACGCAGTGCAGGGAGCTCAGTCAGGACGGGTCACACCTGAGTGCTGACCGGCAGCCCGCACCTTCTGGCAGTAAACAAGAGATCCTGTATATGGACACGAGACTCACGGTGGGGTCCATTTATCGTGAATTTTAACAACGAATGCTCAAAACTGGGCATAGTATATACTCGTCAGCAGCAATAACCCTGAAATACACAGTAGACAACAGCAGTCTAGTGAAGTAATGAGCCCCCAGCAAAGAAGACACTAAGACTGATGCGCGGGTCACAGGAAAGAGGAATGTGATGTGCGTGTTCACAGTCCCGAGAAGGGCAGCAGAGCCGAGAAGGGACACCCCACAATTTCACAGAAGACTCGCGCCCTGCAGGACAGGTGTGCACAGGTGAGCGTGAGAGCACGGGGAGACATCACAGAGTGACACGGTCTCGTCCCTCCACCAAAAGCAAACCCGTCCTGGGTCTGCCAACCGGTGACTTACAAAACCTATTAGGAATGAAAAAACTAGGACGCAGAGGGGCCCGGGCCAGCTTCTCGGGCAGCCTATGAAAAAGCTGTGAAAATAAAACACTTGCATGCTAACAGTTACAGTGACGCCACGGCCGATGAGCCCTGAGGCCTCTCTGGCAGCTCCTATAGCCCTCCATTCGGTTAGGGAGGGCATCCACGGAAAGAAGCGACTGGAATGAGTTAGCTGCCTGATCTGTGAAGGTGGCCGCGTGCCTGGGTGAAACCTGAAATCAATAAACCCGCCAAGGGTTTCAAATTCCAGAAGACCTCTTTCCTACGGGCTCGCATTTCAAAAGTTTTTTATATATTTTTTTATTTGACTCCAATATTAAAGTTTACCTCGAAGGCAACCTGCTTGAAGGAGTTCATCAAAAGACTGTCCTCTCTCCCTCCCCTCCCCTCTCCCTGTGAAGAGAGGGGACAGAGCAGGTGGCCTGTAGCTGCCCCGATCCGCCCCCCCCATCACAGAACAGAGGTTTGGTGGGGCAGGGAAGTGAGTGTGTGGAGGGGCGGGAAGTGGTTAAAAACCCAGGGCGCCAAGCTATGGGGTCCAGTACCCTTGGCTTCCCAGTTGATATTATTTATTACTGACTGGCATTCAAGCTATTTTTACATATTGTACTAGTAATCTGAGAAGGAGAATAACAAAATACCTGGTTTAACTTAGTTTAACTGGAGAAATTTAATCATTCCTCATTAATAAGCATAAATCGTAAGAGTAAATATGTTTCCCATTCCACATCAGATTAAATCTCATAAGGTTCTATTTCAGCACTAAATATCCTCTCACATATGCCTTCCTTTCTTCACTATCGATTTACTGAGCACCTACTACGTGCCAACCACTGTTCTAAGCACTGGAGATACAGCACTGAACAAAGCAGACAAGAATCCCTGCCTTTGTAGAGGAGGGGCAGGCAACAAACAAAG